ATTCATAAGTCTACTGTTCCTGACGCTTTTGTGAGGCACGAATCGGAGAGGGCAGACTTCGGCAGGTGGGCGCTCGATCCCAGCGATAGGTCGCTGGGTTGGCTGGCGGACATGGGGCGACCGCGCAAGGAGCGGTCGCTCTGGTTCCGTTGTTACCTCTCCTCGGTCGAATACGACCGTTAAAAGCGAGGGGTCCTTCGTGGAGATAGGGACTAATCGTGTTCCTAGGCTCAGGCGTTGTTGCCGTCGAGCGCGTCACCTGGGAAGGGTGGCCACTCTAGGGTAGTGGCTCGCCTGTCGCGCTCGCGGCTCGGCCATATTAGCATGGGAAACATCAATTAGGTCGCGTTTCGTACTCTCTAAGAATCTAATCACGAGCAAGACGCGTCGCGTGTATATATTACATTTAAGTAGCTTCTCGAAAGTTTGGAATCGTTGTTCTTGGCGTATGGTTTTCTCAGCGTGAGAAAATACGTTGAATTTTTCCTGCGCCATAGGCTTGCCTGGGTAAATGCGAGAACAACGAACGCGACATTTGGAAACAATAAATTATTGTAAGACTGAACGGCGCGACGAACCCTTGAAGTGCTTGGACGCACGGGAACAGGAAGGACTTTGTGTGTCGACTAGGGCTCGACCAGTCCAAGTGTTTGGAGCCAATTTATTGTCCTTTCTTGGGAGAAAGCGATTTGGGCTCGGGTTCGAAGCGTGAGTAAAGACAGATGGCTGTGGACAGCTCTGTTTAGAGAAACGCGTATTTGTTAGTATTTAAGTTTGTCAACGGATACGGCTGCGTAGCGAGCGTTGGATTGTGGGAAACTGTTTAGTCGATTAAACAAACCTGTCATATCTTAGTCTAACCACAATTTCGATTTGTCAATTGAAAAGGCATCGGCTGATGATTATCAATTGTACGAAAAGTGGCGATAAAAGCAATGAGCGGTGATGTGAATATTGTGAATATAAATAGCAGAATTGTAAAAAGGAATTTAGAACTAGATGTATATAATGTTGATAACAGTTATGTAAATAGTAATAACAGAAGTAAATTGTGGGACAAGTTTAACCGAATTAAAGATAACAGTGGAAAAATAATAGATTTCGTGCAGTGCAAAGTATGTGAGAGTGTCTACACATGCAAGTCAGGTCACGGAACATCACATTTGCTGCGGCACAAATGCGGGACACTTGATAACATGGAAAGAAGGAATACACCAACCGTCTCTACCGAAGACAAGAAGAGAGTGTTGAAGGCTTGCGTAAAGTATTGCGCGAGAGGTTTGCGTGCATTTAACGCAATAAGTGGCCCAGGATTTCAAGACTTGCTGCAAACGCGTCGCTGTACAACACGAAGGGTCAAAATTAATAAGATGTAAACCGTTCAATTTTGTAACACGCGATAATGTTACGTATGTTTGTCCGTCAGAAAATACATTGTTCCCAGCTTCAACAACAGCGTTCTCTAAACTTAAACCTTGACTTTTATGAATGGTTATTCCGTAGCTATTGCAAATTGAAAATTGCTGTCTTATGTATACTTTATCCATAGCTAGCAATTTGT